GATAGAATCATCAAGATTGAAGGACAAGATATTTCTGGAATGAAGAAAGAACAAGTAGTAGATATGTTAACTAAACCCGAACGATTTGTTCGACTTTGTGTGGAAAGAGACGTGATTGAAGGTGATGATGATTCCTCAAAAGCATCATTTTCCTCCTCCTTCTCTCGGCCTTACACTGGCCTTTCATCGGCATCCTACATGGCTAATAGACCAACATTCACTGGATCTTACAAAAGACCTTCTTTAGGATCATTAAGTAATATAAGCCATGATTCGGGTGGAGTCGGGGGATCAAACTCTTCAAAGCCAACATATTCAGTATTCACCAGATTAACCGGCCTAAAAGGTGATCTGACTGTTTTCAATCCATCCACCACCGTGACACCACCGACAACAACACTGACAACATCCTCGTCCTATTCAACGTTACCCTCCAATTCCACCTTCACCACTTCATCTACGCCATTTAACAACAGTGCCTCTCAAACCTTGAAGTCAAGTGCCTCTATTAGTGCATTAAATCAAACAGGTAATTAACAAATGTCAATATTATGTGAAGAAAGTATTTTACCTGGTAGGGAAGATGAGATCTCTCTTTCTCTCTCTATTTGTTCAATCGGCCTCAAGTAATTCTTGATTTTCATCTCCTTTTTCATGGAAATTTATTAGGTGCCAATCAGCAACTAAACGAAACAACGACACATTCTAGCTTCTCGAAACCCCCTGTAGTTGTAAGGATAGAGAAACACCAAGTTCTTAAACCTCATGAAACTCTGGAAGCTGAATTGCCACCACCACCATCGATGGCCGGTTTATATACTGAAGTTTTGACTAAAACAACTTTCACCGAAACAACAACCACCCGAGTTACCAACAATATCCTCAAGGATTCAACCGGTTCCATTGTAACAGAATCAACTGTAGCAACGGAAACTCGGTCAGGATGAGGGAATTAATTCAAATCTAAATTTCATGGTCTCTCTTTTTCTCCTAAACTAACTATTACAATTAAGACAAAGCTCCATCCTATCGGCTTTTTTTCTTCTTCTGTCATTCTTTCTGTCTATCTTATATACTAATCAAATTAATTAGAGGCTAATTTAATTTAAATCATTACAAAGAATCGTACACACCAGTAAAAAGGATAAAATGATTTATCTTTTTTACTTTCATCGACAACACACCAACTTCATTTTCACTTTATGCCTCTCAAAATTCACATTTTCTTGTGATCATCATGTCTCATTAAAATGACTCTATTTCAATGATTGTTAACATAAAAACCTAATCGATTGTTGGTGAATCGTTACAATTAATTTTAATGACAAATTCATCATCTTGTGTAAGTTATGAATAAAAAAAATCTCAATTTTAAGGAAACAATTACAATCTAAATAATCCCCTTTACTAATTACTATTAATTGTTATCAGCTCTTTTCTCCTACGTGTTATCTTTTTCCACATTGAATCTAATTACATTTAAACCAATTTCCTTCTCGCCGAATTAAATCATTTGCAATAATTACAATTAAATCTAATCATCAAATTTTGATGTTTACGCGGCTTTTTTTTTCGTGTAATCAACTGTCATTCATAAACGAAAACAAAGAAACTGATTAACTTATTCAACGATTTAAATGATGAAACATTTTATTTCTACAAAATATTCACAATTATGAAATTCACTAAATCACTTAATCTAATCAAGAATAATCAAATTTAATTTTCGTTTGGTGTTAAATTTGTAGTCACAATTACCAATCCATTTAAGTTAATTGTTTATTATCTTTTTTCACTCTGAATTCAAGTTATTAAAACAATTAACAAGAAGCTGTTGTCCTTTTTAGAAGCCTTAATTTTTATCTCTCAAGATGATTTACAATTTAATTTCGTAACAAATTAAATTAATTTAATCAAATGATCAAACATTGACTCGATTCCAGAATTGAGTTGTCCTAAATTGTTCATAAATCAGGCTGGTTTATGGGTGACTTTGTCTATCTAAAAACTTTGAATATTTTAATGAATTAGATCAAAGAAAATATTAAATGGGTGACAATTAATTAAAATAATCTAAAGCAATTAAGTTAATCATCTCGCAAACAAAATCAAAATACGATCAAGTCGCCATCTAGTGAGGTAGAAATTTATCAAAAAAACTTGAGATCAATCAATTAAATAAATTAAATAATGAATTTGATTAACGATTGAATGATTTAATAGAAAAATTTACAAATGTTGTTCATATCAAGGTCTAACCGTTGATGTAAATGGTTTCATTGAGGCGATAAAAGTTGGTCCATCAGAGACAAGAATGAAAAAAGATCCTCTGTCGATAATCATTGTGTCGTTGAATGTTAATTTACGTTGATTGTCATCATCGATTGTTAATTTTGCATAAGAACCAAGATGCCAAATGAACAGTTCAGTATCGACGGAGATAACAATATGTTTACCTGGACCATAAAATCCAATCCTCGACTCGACTGATTGAGGATAAAGGAAAGAAAATCCTTCACAAATTGATAAGTAATTAAACTTAAACCAATCGAGTAAATAAATGGGCGATTGTAGTTTAATTGTCCGATCATCTGGATGAGGTGTCAATGAATTATCGTAAAATTGAGTTGGACGACCAGTCGCACATTCAATGGACGATTTGAATGATTCAATGATTGGCTTGAGATCGGTGTCCAAATTAACCAAATGAAACCATTTCTCGAATAAAACTTGATTACAATTAGAATCGATGTAATAACGAAGACAATCTAGTTCATGATCTAATCGCTTTCGCTCAATCACCATTCCAAGGGTATCGGCAAATCGTTGAGGACTATGAGGTACCCGACTTGGTAGTACAAAAATTTCACCTAATTGTTGATTGATTGATAGATAAATGAGAAAACAATTTAATCTTTTTGCTTGATTATTGTTTCTTCCTTACAATTGTATTCATTTGTTTCAAAATGTTCATGACAAGATGATAATATGATTTTATCAATTCTGATAAATCACGAAAAACACAATAAACATGATTGAAGACAATTAAGATTGTTGGTAATTAACTTAATTCTACTAACTTACCTTCTCTAATTGTTAAAGCCTTCGAGTGTCCTTGCTCGATAATGTTCAGTATCATGTCACCTTTAAGCATTATGAATATTTCTTCACCATTTTCAACGTGATAATCATTTCGTTGATTAGGTCCACCAACAAGGAAGATCTTTAATTGTCCATTGAAAACTAATTTATTGCAAATTGGTGGTTTAAGGTAAACACCATTTTCCTCAACCCATTGATCAATATTGATCACTTTTGATTGAAAATCTTTCATTTTAAATTGTCACAAATTGTTGAACGATCACAATTGGAGCCATTAAGGTGTAACTATTATCTTGTCAATCAAATTTGATTCACTTTGATTATATCAATTGACAAGGGATATCAAAGGCACTACCAGTTGAATACTAGTCAATTTAATTGTACAATTAAAAGTTGATTTGATTAAGAAATGGAAGCCAAAAACAACAGATAATCAAATTGACTTTAGATGTAAACTAATCAAAATGTTGATTTAGACTAAAAAAGTTGCCAATGATTAATTATTTACTAATTACTTTGATAAAAACATAACATTAAAAGTCCTTGTCAATGTCTTATCATATCACCAGATAATTAGATTTGATTAGTGTTAATCTGTTTGACTTTAGATCATAACAATTAGAGAGATTTTGATTCAATTAAGGTTATTCATTTGATTTGTTTACGCATTTAACTTTTCAATGGTTTGATTGTCACTAAGATTTAATTAATTGTCTATTTTACTTAACAATCAATGCATTTAGTTAACCAAATAGGTTGTAATTAACTTAAATCAACCAGAAGTATTTGATTCAAATAATTATCAAAATTATTCCAATGAATTAATTACTAATTATTGAACATTGCTCGATATTTAATCAAAGATTAATTATATTGGTATTGAGTAAATTGCGCTTAATTATACAACGAATTAAGCATAGTATAACGATCGATAGAAAGTGATAATTAATTAATTGCGAATCTATTTCTAACTCTGTTAAATTAAGCCAATTGTGTTTCCACTCAATCTATTACTTTTTGATTAGATTATTTAGTATGACAATTAAGCACATAAGAGGACACATCAGAAGTGAATGAAATTAATTAATATGAAAAGTGAATTAAACAGAAGAAGATCAAAATTAGGAAAATTGAGTAAAAGTTAATTGTCCTGAATCAGAACAATTAGTTTGATTTGCATATTCATTTGATAGATTGAGTGGATCAATTTCTTTGCTCAATCAACTGATTAATTTTAATCTATGAATAAAATAGTTTTACTGAAAAAGTCAATGGAAATTCAATCATCCAACTAAATGATTTAATTGTTTCTCTCCTTCAGGTAACAATTTGAATTAATTTCTTGAGACGATAAAGCAGCCAAGTTATAAGCCGATCTGATTTTTCTTTGATTTAATTGTTTAATTGTGACTCAATAAACGTAAATCACTAACTTGTGATTATCAAAGTTAAAATTATAATTGTGATTAATTTCAATTTCGCCCGTTAAATTGACAACACAAACATAAACGAGTAGTTGAGGCGCTTCGGTCTTTCTGCTGACCAACTCCATTTGCTTGTTTGTTTGTTTCTTGTTTCTTTCATCTAAACTTTGGTACTTATTTTTCAATTGATTCACAACTAAATTGTTAACACTCAAATGGTTGGACCAATAAATTATCACAATCAACTAACCAAACTACCTTGTTAATCTGTGATATGAAAAGTCCTTCATGTTTTCATTAGAATCCAGTGAATTATATAAACATTGAACTTCAGTTATAAGATTTTTCTTTGGTTCTTAAGACCTTTTGTTGACAAACATCATGTTTTCGAAGCTAAGTAGACCTTCTATTGGTTTCGGACTTCGTTTCTTGGAACAAGTAAACACCAACAATTCGAATAAAATGTCGTTTCTCTCCTTTAAGTGTCATCTTAGCCTATGGAATGTTATTGGAAGGAGCGACTGGTAGAACTGAAGATCAGATCAAAGAGGTTCTCCAATTATCTTCTATTGGTGATCAAAATTCTGACGTTTCTCAAGCCGCGAAAAAGGTGATTATTAATATTTTGATTAATCTATTGATTATTTTGTTTATCAACAATACGATTCATTTCTTTGATTACTGATCAATATTTGGTTTCTTTTTTTATATTTTAGCTTCTTGATGAATATAAATCGATTGCTGAAGGTTCGAGTGATCGCAACTTCTCATTGGTTTTAGGTAATTTGGCGATAGCCAATAGAGCTTATCCATTAAAAGAAGCGTTTGTCCAAAGCTTATCGACTAATTATTTCGCTCAAGCGACAAATGAAGATTTTCTTAAAGGAGTTGAAGTCATGAATAAGCTAAACTCGTGGGTCTCTGAAAAGACTTTTGGCAAAATCGATGAAATCTTACCCGAACCTCCGACTCCACAAACGATATTAATGCTGATAAACACCGTTTATTTCAAAGGAAAATGGGTCGAACCATTTAATAAAGGAACTACATTTGATGAGACTTTCAATAATTCTGATGGAACTACGAGTAAAATCAGAATGATGTCAATTCGAAATAAAAATCGTAATTACCTTCACAATTCCGTAGATAAATTCAAGGTAAATTGAACCCTTAAGTTTATAATCATTTTTACATCAAAAGCAAACAATTTACTTAATCATCTTTTTCCATGTAATTTATTTTATCTAAATTTTAGATTGTTGAGCTTCCATACATCGGAGATGTTAGTATGATCTTCATTCTACCCACCGAATCCAACACTTTACCCGATTTACTTCGTACATTGAATTCAATTGGATTAGAAAATCTATTGGGTTCTATGAAATCAACAAAGCTTCGTACTCTTAATATTCCAAAATTCAAGCTTGAAGATACCCACAAGTTACATGAGATTCTTCCTCGTATGGGAATGGACTTGCCGTTTAGTGGACATGCAGAATTTCAGAATATCACCGAAGAATCTAAACTACTAATATCCAAATCAATTCAAAAGGCTCTGATCGAAGTCGATGAAGAGGGAACTGTCGCTGCAGCGGTGACGGCCATTATAACGATGAAATCCGCTAGGAAATCTTCACAAGTAGAAGAAGATTTCATTCTTGATCGACCTTTCATCTTCATGATTCGGGACAATTTAACCGGAGTCAATCTCTTCCTTGGTCAAATAAACAAAATGTCCAGTCTAAAGTGACCCATTCCTTATATCCTATGTACACTCTATAACAAATTTTTTCCTTCATCAACTAATTGCGGTTCAAGTTTTACATACACTCGATTTCTAATAATTGCTAATTGTTGATTGCTCTCAATAAACTTTCAATCGTAATATCAATTTTTCATATTGGAAACAATTAACGGTAAACTTGAAGCAATTCGAGTTAGAGAGAATGAAGAAAGAAAGAAAGAGAGAGGTGATAATTGATAGAAAGTGATGTTTAATTAATTGCGAATCTATTTTTACTCTGTTAATTAAGCCAATTGTGTTTCCACTCAAATCTACTTGTTGGTTAATTTATTTAGTATGACAATCAAACACACGAATCGTTATAAATATGAAAAGCTAATTCAAACTGATTAAAGTTGTAATCAATTGTTGTAATTATTTGCTACTTGAAGATTAACCTTAAAAGCTATCACTTAATCAATACAATCAATTCTGAGAAAAACAGTAATTTTAATTGATCAATAATTCTTGCTAAATGATTAAAAGTTTGCCAAGATCAAAAATCCTCCCAATCAGCTAATTGTGTAAAAAATTGTGTTTATTTTTAAACATTTAAATTGCATGAATATGTGATTGTTGACAAGAATTAAACAATTATCATGAGTGTGAATACAAAATGCAAGCTTATTATCAATTGTTATGATCAAAGATGCAACAATTAAGACTTAACATTGTATTGAAACCAATGTCATTATTTTGTTGTCAGTAAATTGTTTACCAATCGATGACAATTGAATTTGTGACTATACAAAAACTTCAGTCAAATAAAGTAATAAGTGATTAAGGATGGTAACTAATTGATTAAGTTGACAATTGAAAGGTTAAAAATTAATCATTCAATAAAAATGATTGTGATTACCAATCACTATTGAAACAATTGACTCTCATTTCCTTGATGTTAATCAATTACAAACTCACAAGGTTGTCTGGTAACAATTTAATTCTCATGTTGTCATGTGAAAGTAATTAGAAAGAAATTCACACTTAATCATGATTAACGGTCAATTAATCACTCGAATTTCATCTTAAATTTATTAATATGAAAATGTGAATTTAGCTAAAGAAGATTAAAATTAACAGAGTTGAGTAAAGGTTAATTGTTCTGAATCAGAACAATTAGTTTGATTTGCATATTCATTTGATTGAGTGGATCAATTTCTTTGCTCAATCAACTGATTAATGATAATCTATGAATAAAATAGTTTTTACTGAAGCAAAAGTCAATGGAAATTCAATCATCCAACTAAATGATTTAATAGTTTCTCTCCTTCAGGTAACAATTTGTATTAATTTCTTGCGACAATGAAGCAGCCAAGTTATAAGCCGATTAGAGTTTCTTGATTAGCCAGTTAATTTGTGGCTCAAGTAATTAACGTAAATCAACTCCCTAACTTGTCAGCTGATTGTTGCCTTTCATTGGAAGGCTTAATTGTTTTTTCCTCTCGGTTTCAACTGCGCTTTGAATTCTTGTCATTTGATTATTGCCTCATCGAAAGTAAATCCTATTCCAATTACATGTAATTCACAACCAAACTGCTCAAACTGAAATGCTTACACCCCGATGAATTATCACAATAAACAAACCGAATTATCTTTTTAATCTGTGAAATCCTTTTTTGCTTTTCATTAGAATCTATTGAGTTATAAACACTGAGATTCAGTTGCTCAGTCATCAGATTTTTTTCAACATCTAGAGTTTTACAAACATCATGTTGTCGACATTAAGTGGGCCTTCAATTGGTTTCGGACTTCGTTTCTTGGAACAATTAAACACCAACAATTCGAATAAGAATGTCGTTTTCTCCTTTAAGTGTCATCTTAGCCTATGGAATGTTATTGGAAGGAGCGACTGGTAGAACTGGAGAACAGATCAAAGAGGTTCTCCAATTATCTTCTATTGGTGATCAAAATTCTGAAATTTCTCAAGCCGCGAAAAAGGTAGTTATTAATACTTTGATTAATCTATTGATTATTTTGTTTATCAACAATACGATTCATTTCTTTGATTACTGATCAATATTTGGTTTCTTTTTTTATATTTTAGCTTCTTGATGAATATAAATCGATTGCTGAAGGTTCGAGTGATCGCAACTTCTCATTGGTTTTAGGTAATTTGGCGATGGCCAATAGAGCTTATCCATTAAAAGAAGCGTTTGTCCAAAGCTTATCGACTAATTATTTCGCTCAAGCGACAAATGAAGATTTTCTAAAAGGAGTCGAAGTCATGAATAAGCTTAACTCGTGGGTCTCTGAAAAGACTTTTGGCAAAATCGATGAAATCTTATCCGAACCTCCGACTCCACAAACGATATTAATGCTGATAAACACCGTTTATTTCAAAGGAAAATGGGTCGAACCATTTAATAAAGGAACTACATTTGATGAGACTTTCAATAATTCTGATGGAACTACGAGTAAAATCAGAATGATGTCAATTCGAAATAAAAATCGTAATTACCTCCACAATTCCGAAGATAAATTCAAGGTAAATTGAACCCTTAAGTTTATAATCATTTTTACATGAAAAACAAACAATTTACTTAATCATCTTTTTCCATGTAATTTATTTTATCTAAATTCTAGATTGTTGAGCTTCCATACATCGGAGATGTTAGTATGATCTTCATTCTACCCACCGAATCCAACACTTTACCCGATTTACTTCCTACATTGAATTCAATTGGATTAGAAAATCTTTTGGGTTCTATGAAATCAACAAAACTTCGTACTCTTAATATTCCAAAATTCAAGCTTGAAGATACCCACAAGTTACATGAGATTCTTCCTCGTATGGGAATGGACTTGCCGTTTAGTGGACATGCAGAATTTCAGAATATCACCGAAGAATCTAAACTACTAATATCCGAATCAATTCAAAAGGCTCTGATCGAAGTCGATGAAGAGGGAACTGTCGCTGCAGCGGTGACTTCTATCAGGATGATGAGATGCTGTATGATCACTCCAAAAGAAGAAGAAGTAGATTTCATTCTTGATCGACCTTTCATCTTCATGATTCGGGACAAATTGTCGGGAATTAACTTGTTCATCGGTCAAATGAATAAGATGCCAGATCTTAACTAATCTCTTTCATGTATATCATTCAACACTTTAATAAGAATAAAAAATTTCAATAATCATCTGATTACGTGTTAAATAATAAACTGAAGATTATTTCCAATGCTTTCACAACTCGATTGCATTAACTTTGATTACCTGGTTTCTATCTTTTAATTAATCAATTGTCAACCTATCAAGTTGTTCCTTATTAATTCTTTCATGAATAATTATTCATGAAAGAAAAGTTGGAACAAGAAAAATTATCACAATCGTTTAATTAGATTTGAGATTTGGTTCGAGAAGAGATCAATTCGATGGACGATTCAATTCGGAAACAAGATGAACAATTTACCAAGAGTCAAGCAACAATCAACGACGATATGAATCAAACCAAATCAATGGTTCCAAAATTAGATATTTCCTTGACTAACTTGAGAAATGGATACAAAATCCGTAACAGTAGCAACAACAATTACCCATATCACAATTAACCTAAACGATTTAATCAAAGTGTCCACCGTTCAATCCGACTACTTTTTTCCATCTATCAACGAGTTTTCAATCCCACGAAATTCAATCGATTTAATTTAATTTGTTGTGTGCTTTTGGCTGTTTTCATATTTACTTTTCTGACCCTTTACCATGAATCGAACCTTTGGAGAACATGAATTCAAATTGATTTGACTGTAATTTCATTAAAAGAAATGGGAGATTTTCGTTGTTTTGAATAGTCAACAATTATCGGAAATCTTTCGCTGATTAAGATCGTTGCGAATTTTAGTTAATTTCAATTTGGCCCTTTAAGTTGTAAAAATCTACACTAGTAATTAAAGCGCTTCAGTCTTTCTAATCACCAATCAACACTAATTGTTTTTCCCTCTCATAACAAGTTTACATTTTCGACCTTTAGATTTTACTGCAAATTGTGAATTTTCACATTAATTTGATGATCAAAATTGTAGTAAACGTAAGTGTAGTAGTGATTCTGTTGTCAATTCATCATATTTTTTCAATAATCTAGAAACTACCTAGTTAAGAAAAACCATGTTGTCGGATTTGAGTGGACCTACTAACAGTTTCGGACTTCGTTTCTTGGAACAATTCAACGCCAAAAATTCGAATAAAAATGTCGTTTTCTCTCCTTTAAGTGTCATCTTAGCCTATGGAATGTTATTGGAAGGAGCGACTGGTAGGACTAGAGAACAGATCAAAGAGGTTCTCCAATTATCTTCTATTGGTGATCAAAATTCTGACGTTTCTCAAGCCGCGAAAAAGGTAGTTATTAAGACTTTGATTGACTCAGTGATGTTTTATTGATCGAAATTCCAATTCTCTTTTCAGCTTCTGTCTAGATACAGAGCGTTGATAGCAAGATCGAAATTTCAAGATTTCTTAGTGGTTTTAGGTAATTTGGTTATGGTTGACAAAGGTTACCCATTGAGAGAATCTTTTGTTCAAAGCTTAAAAAGAAATTATTTCGCTCAAGTGACAAATGAAGATTTTCAGAATGGAAAGGCAATTATGGATAAGCTAAACTCGTGGGTCTCTGAAAAAACCTGTGGAAAAATCGATAAAATCTTATCCAGATCCCCGAATCCAGACATGTTATTATTGGTCATTAACACCGTTTATTTCAAAGGAAAATGGGCCAAACCTTTCAATAAAAAGTACACATTTGATGAAACTTTCGCTAATTCTGATGGAACTAAGAGTAAAATTAAAATGATGTCCCTTCGAGATACGAATTTTAAATATCTTCACAATCGCTTAGCCAAATTCAAGGTAAGTAAAGAGAATTCAATCCTTGTCAATGTAATTAAATAATATCAACCAATATTTCCAACTCTAGATTGTTGAGCTTCCGTATATTGGAAAAGTCAGTATGATCTTCATTCTACCAACCCAAACCAATACTTTGGCCAATTTCATTCCTACATTGAATTCTACGAAATTAGAAAATCTTTTGAGTTCTTTACACTCGACAGGCCTCAAGGTTGTTAATATTCCTAAATTTAAACTCCAAGATTTTCACGATCTAAGTATGATTCTTTCGCGAATGGGAATGGAATTACCATTCACTGAACAAGCGGAATTTAAAAATATCACTGAAGAATCTGATTTACTATTCGTATCTGAATCCATTCAAAAGGCTCTGATCGAAGTAGATGAAGAGGGAACTGTCGCTGTAGCGGTGACGTGCATTAAGTCAACGGGAGGTGCTCCTCCAGAACCTAAAGAAGAATTCATTCTCGACCGGCCGTTCATCTTTATTATTCGTGACAATTTAACTAGAGTCAATCTCTTTGTCGGTCAAATGAACAAAATGCAGAATCTAAATTAGTCCCTTCCATGTCTCACCCTGAACACTTCTTACAAATCAACTAATAACTACCAAGATTAATTTCATGTATAAAGATTATCCGTTCTTGAAGACATTAATGTGACTCAAAAAAAATCAATTTTATGTACTAATTTTCAGGACAAATTGAAATGTTTTTTAATTATTCAGTAAACTTTTAATTAAAAACTTTACAAACATTCAATGTTTCATCTTATCGACAGCATTGCACTCTTGAAAATTGTGTTCGTTGTAATCTAATACTGTAACTAAATTACAGTATTTTATTACTGTATTTGATATTTGATGCTCTACTAGATTTTATCTCTTTGCCAATTGCATGCGATCAACAATTATAAAACAGAAATAGTCGAGTTTACAATGCAAAACTAATCCCAAACTCAAGCGAGATTTTAGAAATATTGGTTTGATCAGCTCATACAATTCTTGTTTAACGAATTTTATAAATTTCAAGATTGACGATAATAACAAATTAGAAAAGAAATTAACTAAATATTACTAATTGAATTTTGATGTAACATAAAGCATTAAAGTTTCACAAGTCAAGCTAATTTGAAAATTTTAAATTCCAGGCCCCAAAGTGACCTGCACCGATTATCCCGAGACCTTTATATGGCCTATCAATATTCTTAACATTAGTTTCTAATCAATGCTTTTGGTTTTATCTTGTTTCGAACACAATCGGACATGTAGTCCGCGATCGTTGAATACTAATCTCAGGTCAATGAAACTTTTTATAACATACTCTTATATAGGTACACAATGCTTTGGCATATTTCCGATATCTATCATATTATAGAAAAGTCTTGGTAAGTCTAGTTAACGGTCGGAGCCAATGATTATTCAACATACTTATCGCTAGTGTCCGTCAACTCAAATAGAGAAAATAAGTTGAATTTTTGGGTTGCTTATGTGCAAGAAAACCCTTAAATTTGTTGATGAAGACTTGATCAAATCTAATTAATTAACTTTATTGAATAAGTGATTAATAATAACAAGTGATACATAGATAATAAAATAAATTAGCTTGCGAAACATTTGAAAAAACATATGAATTGATATTGTAAAGATGATGTTGATGATGAAAACAGTTGAAATCAAATTAATACAAAACTTTACTTTCTTGGAAACTTAAATATGAAAATCAATTACAAATTCACTTTTCACTTTGATGATAATAACGGACACAAACCAATTTAAGTATAAACTTAGGATCAAAAACTCAATGCCGAGACAGCTTGTTATTCAACTCTATTCATATAAAAATTCCCTCTCTTTCTATTTTCTCTGTCGAAGATTCGTATTACTATGACTTTTACCTTCATTATCACCTTGATCTTTATTTATTTTTCTCGTAACAATTTCGTAATTAAAGATGATTTTGGACTGAAAAATGAGTTTAGAGATCCTTGTTGTCACAGATCTTGAGATATTACAGTTTGATTGAGTAAATGTTGAAAATCTTCTATGCGGTAAATTTATCCTAACGTGCATTGCAAAGCTCATAGAAACCTCAAAACTTGTCAGTAGTATCTCTGAATATCCTTCTTCGCTGAATTACCTTCAGATGACCTGTAAACGTGTTATTTTACCTATGACCTGAATGACCTTGATCTTTTGATATGACAATTAAATATCGCTCAAACTCATACCGCTTAAGTCTCGTGTCTCTCTGACTCTTAGTCGCTGAGAAAAGCGCAAAAAAACATCGGTAAAAATAGCCCTGTAGTTTGAGGTCAGGCCTTGTCGAGTTCCTTCCATATCCCAACTATTTGAGATTTTTGATCTTTGTTGGTCATTAAGTTATAAGAGGGGAGAACTTGAATAACACCAAATCGTGCTTTAATTGATAACCATCCAGTTGTGGTCAACAGTGTTTTCCTTTTTCTATTAATATTTGGTTTATTTGAATTGAATTTCGTTCCATCGATTTTTCTTCCCATTTGATCTTCATTGATTTTCTTTTGTTCATCCGAAGGTTCGTTGAAAACTTTGAGTTTACTAAGGTGTGCAGGTCTTACTTTACCTGCACTATCTTTTATCTTGTAAGCTGCATTATTTTTTCTTTTTCTAACAATAGAAGGTCGTCGAAAATTTGGAGAAAATTTACTCTCTTTCAACTCGGTTTTAAGAATAACCTTTTCTCCATCCTCTAGATTTTTAAAGTTGGATTCTTTATCATGTTGAAGTGTTTGTGAATCTTTAGCAGCATCTGAAAAATTACGACCATTGCTCTTATATTTGGCCACTCATTTTCGAGAAATGGCACGTAACTGTTGAGAGTGTGAGGCTCTCTTTTGAGCCCAATTGAAAAATCAACAGGTAACGTTGGCTCTCATCCGTAAACTAGATAAAAAGAAGAGGCTCTGGTACTCGAATTATTAGCACTTGTAATGAAATGTCAAAGAGATAGAGGGAGAGATTAAACTAATCACTTAATTACCTTGTTTTTCTTCTTCTCTCTATCTCTTACCTGAAAGTCACCTTGTTTTCCTTGATTATTTAAGAAAACTAATTGTAAAAAATAGAGTAGATTAACCCGTTGATCAGTGAAGATCGAATGGAAAAGAAATCAATTAAACCAGTTAATAATCATTTGATTGTGAATTTAACTAAAGTTTAACTAAATAAGTTACGACAGCACTATTGTAAGCGAAGGTGACCATCGGTAGGACCAGGTCCCATTTATTTGGCCGCTGAACATAGTGAGTAATCATTCGACACAAGGTGTGATTGGTTTTCTCAGTTAAACCATTAGTCTGTGGGTGATAAGGCAAAGTTAAATAAAGGTAAAGTTCGTTCCTTGATCACTGATTATAATCTTCGGGCATCCATGTCTGGACATGATTTCCTCGATTAAGAATCGAGCAATAGTCGAAGCAAATTGACTGTTTACGGCTCGTGTTTCTGCCTATCGAGTGAAATAATCTGTTGCTACGATTATATATTCTCGTCGATTAGAACAAGGCAATAGACCAACCATATCTATTCCAATTTTTTCGAAACGTCTTGCTGCAGCAGAAGAGGAGCCTGAATAGGCGCTGATCCTTTATTATTTTATTGACAAACAGCATAGCGTCGATCATTAATATGATTTACCATTTTCTTCCAATAGTATTTTGCCGTAATCTTTTCATACGTTCGTTGAAAACCAATGTGACCAGATACAATATCGTCGTGATTAGCACGAATAATTTGAGTTCGTAATTTCTCAGGCACGACAATGTTTCGTATGGTTTCTTAACAATTCTGAACGATATTCCTTCATTTATTCTATATTTATCCAGAACCTTCCTGTTCATTGAAATTCAGCTCTCAATTTCAGTTTTTAATCGCCTGATGTGTGGATTTGATTATCTGCTTCATTCGATTGATTATTCAAAAAACCGAATAATCTTTCATCATCATCAAGTTTATTTTCAACTATATCTAATTCATTCGGATACCTTGAGAGAGCATCGCAATCTTGATGATGTTTTCCTGATTTATAGATGATTTTAAAATCAAATTCTTGTAGAAGTAATAAGTATCTAAGCAATCTTGGCGGTAACTTTTTCTTGGAGGTGAGAAAACACAAACTGCAATGATCGGTCACTACTTCAAATTTAATTCCCTCTAAATAAGGATTAAATTTCTCAATCGCATAGACGATTGCACAACATTGAGTAAGGCTGAGAAAGAGTGGGGAAAAAATAAGGTTAATGGTGTGTGGAGGAGAGAGAGAAAATAAATAGTCTTGAAAGTTCATTTAAAAAATAGTAATTTATGTTGGGGAAAAAAAGGGGAAAGAAATTTGGAAAGAAAGAGAAAGAGTGTTATGAGTTTGAGCGATACTCAATTGTCATCAAGATCAAGGTCATTCAGGTCATCGGTAAGATAATACCCTTCAAGGTCATCTGAAGGTAATTCAACAAAAAGTAGTATACAGAGATACTACTGACAAGTTTTTAGGTTTCTATTAGCTTTGCTATACTCGTTAAGATAAATTTATTATATAAAAGATTTTCAACAGTTATTCAATTAAACTGTAATATCTCAAGATCTGTGACAACAGCGGTCTCTAAACTCATTTTCCGGAGTTGAAAAATGTGGAAAATAACAGTACAACCTTCAGATGACCTTGAAACGATAGTCTCTTTGTTTATATTTTAGCTTCTTGATGAATATAAGTCGGTTGATGAAGGTTCGAGTGCTCGCAACTTCTCATTAATTTTAAACAGTTTGATAATGGTTCATAAAATTTATACTTTAAGAGAAGCGTTTGTCCAAAGCTTATTGAAAAATTATTTCGCTTGAGCGACGAATGGAGATTTTCAAAAAGGAGTCGAAGTCATGAATAAGGTGAACTTGTGGGTCTTGAGAAGACCTTTGGAAGAATCGATAAAATTTGTGATTAGTTAGACGAGTTGATAGGTAGAATCTCTTTTTACATATTGTACATTGTTGACTCTTTTTTCTTGTTCTTGAAATTGGTCGTTGTATTTTTGTAGTGGTGAAGTCCGACTTTCTACAATTATCGATGCATGGACAATCATGTGATAAGTAAACTCCTGAATTAATGTTGGTATAATTACATTGGCATTTGAAATCCTAAGATTACTAAATTTCAATTAAATCAAATCTTAAATGCTCATCATTCGACTTACCATTCTAAAGCCTATCTCCAATCGGGACTGGCAAGGTTTTCAACGCAACAACCGTTTATATATCTCAAAGAAAAAATGACGCATGCGTAAAGAAAAAAAATTTAATGGTCATGCGTACTCAAGGGTGATGCGAATGATTATTTATTCTTTTTTCCCAAAATTCACCAGTTTGATATCTATAATGAATATAGTCAAAATATTTTTTGGCCTCATCGTATTGATCAGTACTTATTTCCACTCCATCCCGAACAATCATTTCCATCCATGGCCAACGTTGTGGACCTTCGGTATTATAGTTGACCCGTCCAGATTAACTATCGGGAAAATCAACCTCTTGACGAGTAGCACAATTCATTCGCTTAGTTTTTTCGTTTGGTCCCCGCCAAAGTTCACTATTGACCCAACATGTTCAGCCACCTGTCTAGCTTTTTCTTTAAGTTGAAAGCAGTAGAGGCAACGATACATTATCGGATTTGCATTGATAATGCGTCTTTGATCTTCCTCCATTTTCACAATTTCTTGTACTTCATTACGACCA